TTTTTTTTTTTACAAAAGACCTTACAACATTTTTATCACTAAGATTGAACACACTCATGAAAATTTCCAAGACATATTTCAAAAGTTCATTTTGATTACACGGGATGATTTAGTACAGGGATCATAACATCTTTTCACGATATTTGCACTTATTGTGTAAATTGTCTTTATCGTTGCAAACTTAACATTTGCACCCTTATTTCAATATTTTTCTTACAGAGTTGATCATTTCTGTTTCGTTTCGTCAATTTATATAGTCGAATAAGTGTAATTGACGCAAAAACGTTCTTATTGTTTTCCTTCCTTGCACAAATCCCCCCGTCATTTCAATTTTGGAAAAGAAAGAAATAATTGCAACTAGAATTTCAAATTTGTTAAAAAGTAAAATGATGCCACATAAAACAATTGTAGCCCCTATTTGAGCCACAATATTTTTTTCATTCACAATCTTCTACTCATTTTCAACCACACACTTTTCAATAAAATTATATTTTTATCACATCAATAATTTTTCCTTATTTTTCAACTACATATTCATCATCACATCAAAACAAAAAATGCATTCTTGGAGCAAAAATGTGCACCAAATAGGGGCTTAAACATACTTGCAAAAGACCACCAAAATAATTAAAAATAGAACTAAAAGTATTAAAAAAAGAAAGAAAATAATTAAAAATAATAAATAAAGAAAAAAATGAAGCAAAATGATGCTTCTTTCCCCTCCATGCCGCACCTTGCCACCAGCCACCACCACAACCATCCATTCTACACATTCCATGCAGCACCATCAAGGGATTTTCCAGTGAAATTACAAGAGTTTTTTTTAGGGATTTAACTATTTTCAACAAATTTTTATTTCTATCTTCTTGGATGACACACGCGCACGCACACACGCATATATACCCACTACATCAATTTTTAAATTTTGCTTTGATTTTGTTCAAATTTTTTGTCTCACAAAATGATGTCTAAAAATAAGATTTATTTTTTCGCTATAGGGTTTATTTAAGATCTCAATCCAAACCCCCAATCCAAATTGTTCTAATTTAAGCCCAACTAAGAGGAAAATATGTTTTTTTCAAGAAGGTTTTTTTGTTAATATGTTTAAAATTATTTTAAGTGGGTCTAGTTTGCCCTATTTGAAAGTTTTAGGAGTTTGACTGTAATTCTTTTTTCAATTTGTTTATTTTAGTTGATGGTAAATTAGTTATTTTATAATGCTTTTAAATTTTAATGTAGAAAATAGATGGTAATGACTTTTTTTGCAAAAAAGGTCGATCTGAGAGTCCAAATGTCAAAATTTGAACGATGTTGATGATTTGCACAATAAAAGCAAACGATATTAACATTTTGCATCAATTATCCATATTTGACGACAGAAATTGATGGAATGAGACGGAAAGGACTAACTTCATATGAAAAAGGGATGGTGCAAATGCAGCAAATGTCAAATGTGGAACGATATAACTATTTGCACAATGAGTGCTATCGATAGGGATGTTTTGTGCTAATTATGCTTATTCCTTCTATTTCTCATATTTGCAATTATATTTTCCAAATATTGAATTTCCTTTATTCTATTTGTATTCTGGGAAAAATTATTTTCTCCTACTTTATCTTTACCCTATTTCAAAAATAACAAAACAACTTTCACTTTTCAAAAATCAGAAATTTTGACCTATACATACACATATATATAAATATTTATTTATACATATAAATAAATAAATAAATATATAAAATTAACCCACCCCCACCACCCCACCGCGCTTGTGACCGCTCCAGCCATTGCTCCAGCTACCGCTCCGGCCACAGCTCTGATTCCGATGACTATTCCGGTGACGTGAATTTTTTTGAACGGTCACAGTCCAAGTCACAAGTCCATGTCACAGGTGACAACGCATGGTTTTTTGTTTATAATGATTGATAACACGATAAGGCTCATGTCCCACATTTTTGTTAATAATCCAATATTATTTTCAAATGGTTACAACAGAAATCACAGAATATTTTTTCACATGGCCCAGGATCTTGTTGATAGTCACAAGTTTATTTCAAATGGCCACAGCACATGTCACAAAATGTTTTTACACATGGTTCAAGTTTTTGTTGATGGTCACAGCATGGGCCATAGAATATTTTGCATATGGCTCAGGGTCATAGCATAGGTCACAACAGGTCATAGCACATGG